TTACACCGCCACCATTGGAAGGTTAAGAATTTGTCCCTGCCGGCAAAAGACGTTGAGTGTTTTGCTATCAAATTAGAGACGACGAGTATACCTGCTGCGAGGATTGGATGGTGCAGTGGTACACCATCCGGGCCGTTCTCCCAAGTAGATACCGGGTAGTTCGAACACCTACCCCATTCGAGACAGGAGATAGCTGGTTCGAATCCAGTAATACCCACACACCACTCTCTCTCGCCGTGATATCGTACTTGTGGGATGATGAAAGCAAACTCGGGTAGTCACAGGTTTTTCACGCTTTTCCCTGTGGTGGCTATGCACGGAAGAGGTTATAAGCCGTAAGGGTTAACCTCGAGTGGTATCTACAAATGAAATCTGAGTGCGAGTGTTCTTAATGTTAAATTGAGTCATCCTACTAAAGTATGTATCTTCCGATAAAACCTGTATGGGCCTAACGGCGCCAAATCAGGAAAATTGAATAATATATATATATATATATATATATATATATACATATATACATACCTGCTGCGAGACTTACTTCTCGGTCGCTTCATTGCCGAAAATCATGTCAAAGATCAGCAGCTCGAGCCAAGCATGGAACACTTACCATGGCTTTCTACCATCACGGATGGATAATCCGTGTAGAGGATAAGTTCTGTACACTTGACCACGCCACCCTCAATCAACCTGGGAGTGGAATATTCTCACAGGGCAAAGTTCATTTAGATTTCGCAATACGATTGATGTTGGCCTACGAGGCAATGATTAAGAATACTCCCCACGTCAAATTTTCACTCCCAACGAGATCGACTCCTACCTAAGTCTCATCAAGTCTACAATTATGACCGATTAAATCCTCATTCCAATGACCACACCTCTCGTCGAATTTCTCTGGCCTCAGCTGGTCACAAAATACACGCCCACGCCGATATTTATATCCGCAGGAAGAAGGAAAGCGTGGCGCACAAATCTGGGAGGCAGTTTTTCAAGATAGACGTAAGAGAGATCAGGTCAAGTTAACTAGATGATGTAGATGATGGATACAGTCTTGACGGGCGAGAAATATTGAATTTCGACGAGTTTCATGAATTGAGCTTTGTGCGTGCCAAAGCTTCAGTTACGAGGGTGCAGGCTACACTATAAACACCGCTATGGATGGATGGTGCAGTGGTACATCAGCTTGGCCGGTCTGCCAAGCAAGGCCTGGACAGCTTGGATACATATTCCATTTGTGAGGGGAGATCGCGGGTTCGAATCCTGCAAAGCTCGACCATATTCCTCGCGACGCTGGTGTGAATGGATTACAAAGGCATGCTTGGACAATCAAAGGTTTTGAAACGTCCCTTTGGTAATTACTTAATGAGGAGGGTCGACTGTTTGTGTAAGCAAGCATACCTCAGTGGTATTTGCAAATGAAATCCAGAGTATGAGTCTCTCTAACGTCAAAAGAGCCATCCGATATGTATAAATAGCACCGGTCATGTGTCATAACTATATAGCTGAATACAAACTAAATGATTTAAAAAAGAAAAAGCCAACGATGGAAGATGCCGTGGTCTATCTCCTGGTGGTGCTCTCTGGTATAGTTTGAGTAGCCTAGGCACCTATTCCACTTGAGAAGGAGACGTCACAGACTACATTGCGCGCGGAGAAAATTCAGTGGATGATGGAGACATGTCTGGATAACTCAGGGTTTTTGAGAAGTTTCCCTGAGTGGGTATTCACGGATGATGATTGACTTGGGGTGAGGAAAAAGCCACCACAACTTCGCAGTGGTACTTGCAAATGAAATCCAGAGTATGAGTCTCTCTAACGTCAAAAGAGCCATCCGATATGTATACATAGCACCGGTCATGTGTCATAGCCAGATAGCTGAATAAAAACTAAATGGCTCAAGAGAAACGACAATACATGAGGGCTACAGCAGCCTGCATGTAAAAAACGCCATGATTGGACGCCATTACTATGCTATTTCTCTAGGCAGCATGAGACTAACTAGGCACATATTCAAGTTACTCTTCAAGGGCTTACAACTACTGAAGGGTCATCCAAGGCTCTTCAAGCTAGCTGATGTAGCTCAGCTCCAAAGCCTGGCCGCAATTTCAGCACAGCTAGAAGATGGCGGTATACAGCGCTACTTCCTTCCATCGACCGGAAAGCGGGGTTACTAGTTGTTGCATATGAAGCCAATCAGTTGGAGGTTTGAAGTAAAGCAAGCGCCATCTTTTTTCGCATGAGATTTTAATTGCTATGTAGCTATCTAGCTATGACACAATATCAAAGAAAAGTACAGAAAAGATGACTCAATTTACAAGAGGAGCACTCATGCCTCGGATTTCATTTGCAAGTACCACTGCGAAGTTGTGGTGGCTTTTTCCTCACCCCAAGTCAATCATCATCCGTGAATACCCACCCAGGGAAACGTCTCAAAAACCCTGAGTTATCCAGACATGTCTCCATCATCCACTGAATTTTCTCCGCGCGCAATGTAGTCTGTGACGTCTCCTTCTCAAGTGGAATAGGTGCCTAGGCTACTCAAACTATACCAGAGAGCACCACCAGGAGATAGACCACGGCATCTTCCATCGTTGGCTTTTTCTTTTTTAAATCATTTAGTTTGTATTCAGCTATATAGTTATGACACATGACCGGTGTTATTTATACATATTGGATGGCTCTTTTGACGTTAGAGAGACTCATACTCTGGATTTCATTTGCAAATACCACTGAGGTATGCTTGCTTACACAAACAGTCGACCCTCCTCATTAAGTAATTACCAAAGGGACGTTTCAAAACCTTTGATTGTCCAAGCATGCCTTTGTAATCCATTCACACCAGCGTCGCGAGGAATATGGTCGAGCTTTGCAGGATTCGAACCCGCGATCTCCCCTCACAAATGGAATATGTATCCAAGCTGTCCAGGCCTTGCTTGGCAGACCGGCCAAGCTGATGTACCACTGCACCATGCTGCTATAACCGTCTTTAAATTGCCTCCTGCACTTGGTTAAGCGAGATCATAGCGTGCACGATGTACGAGAACACGAAAATCTTTCTTCGAGCGGCGACACCCTAGCATTTTCTAGATCGTATCCATTCTTAGCATCATCTTGTCCATCTGCTTTAATCTCTCTTATGCCTACACCAAACGTCTACCACTTAAATTTGGGTACCACGAATGTGTGTTTGAATTTTCAGCTGAGGAGTCTACGAAAAATGTGGCCATTGGAGTGAGTATTAAATGGATTGTATTTATAGACCTAAGGATACTCTTGTTGCAACCGGTCTTGTTGAGAGCCTTGAATCATTTCATCGTGGACCAACTTCTTCAGTGCCGCGAAATCTGTTTGAGCCTGGATCTGTGCGAATACTTCACCCCACATTTCTAGAGGATACCACTGACAGGTATTAGATCATAGTCCCCTACCTCTAGTGATGTTGTTGGTCAGACATGTAGCAACAGGCCTTTCGGGCCGATCTAAATTTGTCTGGGATCAGAGGTGTAGTGTACGTCTCATCGTCAAAATTTTGAAATCAAATACCAACATCAAAGCTCCTCATCGCAGGGGCCTCGAGGGGCGAAGGAAGGCTAGGCAGATCAGAACAACGCCCGGTTTGGCAGTTCTACTGCCGACGAGCAGGCATCATCCTTGGTTGATCATCGATTTGACGACTCTAGAATTTTCTGGATGAGGAAGTAATGTGTGACAAATATTGAGGTCCCGGATAGCATCGAACGTTAGATTTGGTCTGTTACATGCATTCAAGCTCGAGGAACCAGCCAGCACGACTAGAGTGCTGGCAGGGTTTAAGACTAGAGCTATTCAACCTTATCACGATTCGGTTCTCTCTTCACCCTCATCAGCCAATTTCATCTTTGAATTTTGGCGCTTTCAGAATCGTTTTGATATTGATTTGTAACTCCCGGCATCCCCTCGACGACCACTGTTCAGTTAACATCACATCTTTAAATGCTACTAGATTGGGTTCTTCTAGAATGCTCCTGACAACTTCAATTCATCGGGCTACATTCACATCTTAGCCAATGGACCTTTAATGCCTTGAGTTTCTTGACTGTTAATTCCTTCACAAGTAAAGCTTGGAGCCGATTGTCTCAATGAGGCACTCATGGTCAGTGACAAAACTGGCTCTAATTACCCTCATACTTCCATTTATGTATCTTGTGCAACGACGCGTTGAAAATATCGGTGAAGTGTGTGGTCAATCATCTTCCCGCGACATAAATTAAGATTAACCCTGTCGCTAAGACATTACTGCTACCACAACTTGTGCGGCCTAGACCTCCTAACTACATAATAGATATCTCTTGGAATTCTAGTAGGCACCTTGCCCAGGTTCCACAGTATCAATTCCATCGATCTTCCGGCCCAACCCAACTTTGCTAGCAAGGGATATCAACATGCGTCTATGATAATGATATTTTGCCCTTCCTTCGATGAAAATATACCATTGCGAATATTTTATGGATAAGTGACTAAAAGTTACCTTGACTATTATGAATGAATGTACCTTCGTTAATTACGTATTTAATCGGCTATTATTAGTCATCGCGCTTGCTTTATCTTTCATCCTAGCGGACCAACTAATCACATCTTTTGCAGCGATCCAGGAAGTGTAGCCCCGATATTTTGAGTAGTTGACATTACTTAAAATGGTAAATGCGTGATCGAGGATAACTGAGCTAGACCTTAGCCTCGAATTCCTGTCGACCTGTAGAAGCTATTTTTGCTTCTATCTATTAACGTACTCACATCGTAGGTAGGGCTTGTTCCTGCTCAAGAATCGTTCAGGTCGACGATGTAGAGTATAAGTCTACCAGATGTGCACATTTATTTTCAGTGCATGTAGATTGGCTGCTGTCCGCTGTGAGATGTATCTGCACATTTAGAATAATGCCGGATTTTGTAGATTCGCCACAAGATGAATTCTAATTGGAGTAAAAGTGAGCCCCGGAATCTGGGGTGTCATTTATACTATTAGCTCATGTCATCATTGCTGGTCGCCCTGACCCACACAATATTTTCGGAATCCCGTGTAGGGGAGTCGAGTTTGTGTGGGCCACAGACCGTATTTGGTCCAGACTTGACCCAAGCGACTCAGTTGAACTCAGGCTTTGATAGGTGGGGATTGAGTCAATCTCGTTTATAGTAGTTTTTTCATACCGCGGTGGGCTCATTGGAACGTTCTCGTAGAGTGGTGGCTGTTCTGCGTCCCAGGATATGCCTAGGCCGGATCTTTCGGTAACTATTACATTGAAATGCATCCTTAAAACTCTTGCGGCGCCTGTCGGTATATCCTCAGATGTAGTCAGCTTCGACATTATTTCTTCGATGAATACCATCTGGACAACAAGGGAATGCGAAACCTCGGTATCGTTGTCGCTCTTCATGTCACAGAGAGGTTGAGCACCGGGTCGAATGGCAAAGGGGAATTCTACTTCTATCCTCCCGTCAGGAACGGAAAAGTCTGATTTCCAGCCCATTCTGAAGTAGCCTTCACCAATAATACGAACGTCAGTGTGGGTCACTCCTTTATCTTCCCCTTCGTGACCTGGTCGTTTCATTGCATGTTTTGAGCAGGGGGGCGAAGTAATTCTTTGCTTCTCTTCAAGATGCCAGTAAAGTTTCTTTAACTTCCATTGACGTTGTGTACTTGCGTCAACACTTTTCTTTACACATCCATCGATTCGAATTGAAACAGTCGAAGTACCAATCGGGTGGATAGCCGTAGGGTGCTGACAATAAGCAGTGAGGTCTGTTGGTGGAAAAATACGAGTGGAGCTTCTAGGCCCATCGGGCGGCATTATAGCACGCCGTATATCGAGTTCCTTGCAAAGTTTGACGGGTTCAACACCACTGAGGGCCAATTCTGCGTGCAGATTATACTCGATTTGGAATAGAGTACCTTGAGTGCTTGCAGGAAGATGGCCGGGGAGAATCCAGCTGAATGGGAACTTATGGAGGCCTGTATTTGGTCAGAATATTCGTATCATATCAGCAATTGTGGTAGGATACGTCACCCTTTGGCAATGTTGTTGGAACGTTGAGAAACACCCAGCTCTCTAGGACAGTTTTATGTTTCCTACAGTTTCGGCAGTGTGTATGATGGGGTCTCTTGTGAGTCAATTCTAGGTCTAGACTCATTTTGAAAGACTCGATAGCAATTGTCTCGTGTTGGACTTGGAGTATCAATTGACCTGAGAGAAGAGCACCCGAGCTAGTGGTTGTTGGACCGTAGAAAACTAAGGGTGGCGATTCGATCTCGACATCTAGGGAGCTCGTGGCTAGTAATAATTTTTGAGAACAGCTTCTTGGGGAGTATAAGCCGGGGATATGAATTCGTTTGTGTGATTCTTGTAACCTCGTATTTCTATCATCAGGGCCACTGCTGTGTTGTGGTGGAGAGAGTGATCGATTTAAGGCCGGTTTGTTTCGCGATATACTTCCCTTGGCGGCTTTGGTAAATTCCTTCTCGAGCAGGTCGACAGAGTGCGAGCTTGCACGAAAGAAAGTGGCCACGCGGTGAGGCATGGCGATTAATCCGAGGATGTGTTCTGCTAAAACAAAGTAGTGATGAGGTGAGATGATCAGAGGGAAGTCGAATGGAGGAATACTTCAGGCTGTTGATGTGAAAATTACCTTAACAGCGGATGTTGCCCTTATAGTCCAATACTCCATAAGCGGATTGGTGGCACGAGCACAATCCCGTTGGCGAGAACTTATTTCGCCATGGACCACTTCGATTCAGCGGGCGCAAATATTGGTATGAGCAACTTGGCACTACAGTGGCACCACCATGGCCCCGCTCTACCATCAATCATAGCAGCGTTCCGATCCCCACATGGGATTTGATCGAGGCAAACAAGGTGGTGATGATGTTGGTAGTAAGCTGCCACTCTTGACGCATCGATCCTAGTTTCGTTGCCCTTACGACCAGAAGGCTGCGAAGAAGATTTTACTAGAATACCAGGAATGGTAACAGCAGCGCTACCAGCTATGCCCCGGGTCGGCAGACGAAGAGCGGGAATGGAACGAGAATAGCTCTCAGTCGGTGCGAGGCGGCGAGGGTTGTGGATTGGGAGAAATTTTCCATCTAAACAGCATGGGAGGGGTCTGAGCCATTATTAGATGAAGCTAGTGGAGAATTCGCTACTTGGGCAGGGGGTACAGCTCTTGGGCCCCTCGTTCCACGTGCGTAATAACCGTATGAGACCAAATTTACCAATTCTGACGGAACCAGCACAGCAAGGCTGAAGTCACAATCCAGACGAGGAAATTCAAAGGCTCTCGAGACGTGGTTGGCGTTCGACAGAAAACAGAGCGCCTTTTCCATGGACCACGCGCGTCTGTCAACCGTAAGGCCCTAGCCGCGAACTACATTGCGGCCGGTGGCAGCTGGTTCGTGGGTTAGGATTTACCCGTTCCTACAAGCTAATCACCACCGCTCACCTTCCGACAGGTACCCTAGAGCGGCCATACTTGCACGAGTCGTCGCCATTATCAACATCGTCGCCTGGCCTCGCCGACGAGAAGGTCTGTTCAGCGAGTGCAATATATTTTAGGAACTGAATTAGTTGCTCGTGGTATTAATGCCGGCCATAAGCGTTGAGATGATTTCTCCGACAAACGACACCATCCCTCAGAGCCAAGGTTTACTGGGGGGGTCACGCTTGAACAAGAGCCGGAGAGGTCGCCGGCCAGCACAAGAGTCTGGTGACGAGCAGCACGAAGTACTATAGGTCTTTCGCCCTTTGCAATGCTCGTGGGAGTCCCTTGCTCTATAACCCTAATCATGTCGAATTTCTGACTGGAATATGAGCCCGACGCATTGTGGTCGGAAAGGCACGTTTTCTAAGCACCCATGCCTTGTCTCGGAAGCTATTTGCCTCCCGCAAACCTTCAGTTTAGACGTGTTCTGGAAGTTCATGCAATGTCATTTCACATTTACAGAAGGAAAGTTTATCAAAAAGTACATTGTTTTTAGAAATTTATGTTCAATCTGTTCTGAAAAGCACCTAATCACATCCCTGAATAATCTAGATCATACAAGAGAATGGTAGAATGCTAACTATCTTGTAATAATCCCTACAATTTCCAGCCCGCCATACCTGTATACTTACTGCATTTTATTTCATGTAGCTCTTTACTGATAAACTCCCACACCACAAGTGTAGGTGACGACAGTTTTCCATTGAGTAAGACTTCGCACACAATATTAAAAGTTGCCGCAGGGGGGCGTGTACATGCACATATGGATCCCGCTTAAGATACATGATATTTCCGTCTGAGTGTCTAGACTTCCCGCGAGAAGAATGACTTTGGTGAAAGGCACTAATGGTTGAAGGACAAATTCATCAAAAGCCGAAATCCTAAATGTCTATTTGAGCGCTTATAGTCGATATTGAAGCTAGGCTGAAGATGGTACGCATGACGATCCAGGTTCAAATGTGCCAAGGTCAACATGGGCCTTATGGGGGAACAAAAAGCTTCCGTAGGTGTGTTGATGTAGGGAATAGGCCGTGGTGAGGACGTTTAAGGCTTGAAGCTGTGTGGCACCTTGAGACATTGATGTTTACGTGAATCGGGGACACAAGGTAAATGTGTCGGGTGGAGATGTTATAGCCTTAGCACCATGCGCTGTTTGATGCTCAAATCTTTAAAATAAAATTGGCTGCTGTTTCGTGAGGGAATATTGGCCTCGCTACAGCTTACTGACTCAGCCGAACTAGAGGCTCCGATCAGCGGGCTCGACCTTGCGTCAGACACACAACTTGATTTCGCCACGCGGTGATCACCACTTACAGCCGTTATTGGGATTTTTCTGCGCCTGAGACGTCAAGTCAGGCTCGTAATTACAGGCTTGTAGGCCTAAGCAGAACGTGGAGATTCGCTTCTCAATCATTGATGACGCTCTTTCTTTGGGCTCGAAGTGTTTCTAGTTTTCGGCCGATGATCCGGCGAGCAATCACGAGCTGCCAGTCTCCACTGGCTGCTTGGCTCATCCGAATGCCCACTCGCCGCTAGAAACTAGCTCGACACTTGCAACTCCGGTTAACGTGCATACACGTCAACAACCTCCTACCGTTCATTAAACTGGATATAATATACTTGATCCCTTTGTCAAGTGATTCCGTCTTTGCAATCTTGCAATCCCTTTCGTACGGGCGCTGATAGGGCCATGGCCGATGGGCTTTTTGCCTTGTTAGTACTTTTGCGCGTTCAACCACTCTATCATACATCAGGCTTGTCATATAATAGCAAATATTCCATTGGTCATCGACTACGACTGAGCTATTACGACATAGCCACTCATAATTAAGAATTAATAACACCAAACATTCGGTAAATTTAAGCATCTGATTCACAGTGTAAAATTTCCAGTCCCCGTGAAAACGAGGAGTCCGAAGACATATACTACCTCGTGACTATTTAGTAATGTAGATGCTGAAAGTTATGCAAGAGGTCACGAAAACTCAAGGGTTCTATTCTCGGATGCGGTCACGCACCCCCGAATCCTTTTGTACCCCGCCCACTTGCATTTTCCCAACACCCAACTACTTCCTAATTTGTTGATAGAAAAGTGTGGGGTTATAATATATGTCACCCTGAGCAATCAAACGCAGCCATAATGTGTCGTGATCCATTCAGTCCGTAACCGGTCCAGCTTTGTAGAGAATAAATATCGGAGATTTCAGACTCACTTTTAATTTATTCTGCAAATTTTATAGGGTAAACTATTCACGCTAATGAAATATTCGTGGATCCTAGTAGAGGGAATTTTGCTTCATATGTGACATATTTTATTGTAGTGGGCAGTTGATCGGGCTCTATTAGAGTCTTATAGCCTTAGCATGTATCGGATCATCGGAAAGCCCGCTAGGGAATGAACTAGTACAAATGTGGTTAAAGAAGTCAGCCCAAGTCTCACACCAGTTAATCTGCAATCACAACGCGTTACTGTCGCTCGCTAACCAAACAACAATCACGCATGTCAAGTATTCTTTCAAGCACAGTCTGTTTAACACTCTAGTTTTCAAGCATAATTCGCCATCGCCTAGAGTGTTCGATGCCTCACAGCTCAATTCTCTTCACTTTCTATATCTTTACTTCAATATAGTCTACTATTACATTGGCTCGAAAGAAAAACTTTCAAGAGATAACCTTTTAGATTTTAGGTGAAATACAAGGAGTCAAACCATCGGATTAACGAGGAACCTTTAGGTTTATTTTAAAAGTTCGAAGGCGAGAGGCATCTCAAAATTTAAAGATTTCAGGTCTCCCGGGTGTTAGCATGATGGGGTCAATCTCTGTGATATCACAGGTTGTGGGGATGGGGTTGCTGCTGTAGAAATGGTGGCTGGTTCAGATGTATATATGTATATATATTCTTGGACGCCACCGAAGCGTCAAAACTATCTATATAAAATTGTGTGCCTAAGGCATTATACCAACCTCAGGCCTAACGGAGCAAGTACTCCGACACCCGGGATACCGTAATTAATAAATAAATAATGGTCCGAGTCTGTACAGATGAAAAGACGGGAAAAATAGGAATGAGCCAAGGAGGAACACTTTCCAGTATCCATAAACACCTGAGCACGGCTCTGAGCAGTATAGTCATGCAGATAAGAAGCGAACACATTGGGTTCAATCCCTATCTGCACAGAAGAAAAGTTACAGGAGTAGATAATCCACAATTCCAATGTGGATATCCGTCCCAGAATATGAAGCATATGATCATGGCCTGCACTAGCAAGGCCAAAGGTAGAGGAGAAACACTGAGAAAGGCAGTGAACCGGTCATTTGAGGCTATGATGAACTATTCCAAAGATATTGCAAGGATAACCAGATGGATCCGGCAGGAAGGGCGACTAGAACAGTTTCGACTGACGCTTGCTGTCGAGGCCACGGTAGGGGAGAGAGGAGAGTAGGTGAAAGATGATCTTCTGCAAGTAGCAAGGAAGTTGACGATATCCGCACCGGACATAACAGTGTTAGTGCACTTCGTGAAGATGATACGACATTAAAGTGTATATAATTTGAAAAGCTGAGGGGGTTTTTACCATAAAGGTTTCCTACTATATAAATATTACCGTGATGCTACGATTTCAAGTTTTCAATGGATTTATATGGGTCGCATATTCGCTACAGGGTTTGCACCCCTGTTAGCGCCAGTTTCGATAGGTTACATAATTCTTGTCCTGTATTTCCAGGCCTAAACCAAGCACACGATTTGAATTCATGTCACCCTCAGTTTTATGCAAATCCAACCTATTCTCTAGTTCTTTGCCATCACTATTATGACCGCCGACCGCTAAAAAATTACACAGCTCTTCTCACCTTGTGCTTAAGTTACAATAAGAATTAGATTTCTTAAATACAAAATTATTTATTCTGAAGACTCATGGCTTTACTCGATAATAACCTTTTTTTACAGATGAATCCACCTCATACCCCACCTTCAACACCTCGAATCAAACAATTATCCAGAGATCAAAACATTTTTGTAAGTAGAAAAATTAAAATGAAAG